CATCAACAATGTAATTACCTGCAGCTGCTCCGGCAGTTTTGCCGCCCTTAGCACCAGCCGCTCCAAAAGCGCCTCCTTTGGCCGCCGCTCCCGCAGCTCCTAAAGGTCAAGCACACAAAGCGTTAGTATAAACAAAGATGACAACATGTTTACTATTTACCTGCTTTAGCACCCTTCGCTCCAGCTTAAAATAAACAAGTTAGAAAATGTCAAAGTGTTCTTTTCACACACTAAAGTTCAAACATACCAGCACCGCCTGCAGCTGCAGCTGCTCCAGCACCACCACTGGCAGCCTAATCAACAGGAGTTTTTTGTTAGTGAACTGGTAAACAGTGAAAACATCATCAACAACAACAACAACAGAAACCCACCATATCGAGGTCTTGGGCGTAGATGGCACAGACGACCACTGCAAGAACAGTAACTCGAATAAAAAACTTCATTTTGACTGGAAGATTTGATCAAATTTGGCTTAGACGTTGGCAAACAAACTAACTGGTCAGACAGTAAATCGACTGTAAGTGAGTATTTATCGGTGAGTATTTGTCCTATGACGACTTTGCCGTTTGCTTTTATATGAACCAGCCGGATGGTCAGCTGCAGCAGGAACAGCAGCAGTTGAAGCACAACGTACAATCACCACCTCTACCACCATCTAAAACAGCGGACTCTAAAAGTATAATATCTCCATCGAGGAAATCAGCTGTGGCTGCTGTTGTGTTCACTAGTGATTCGAGTAATTGGCCACTTCCTTTGCTGCCGTGGACGACGACGACGACGACAATGTAAACACTTCTACTCTCCCTTCCTCTCTATGCAGGACTGTCCGGTACTTCGCACACATCCTTTCTCCCCAGGTGAGATGNTGTTGTGTTCACTAGTGATTCGAGTAATTGGCCACTTCCTTTGCTGCCGTGGACGACGACGACGACGACGACAATGTAAACACTTCTACTCTCCCTTCCTCTCTGTGCAGGACTGTCCGGTACTTCGCACACATCCTTTCTCCCCAGGTGAGATGTGGTGACAATGACCACTGCTCAAATGACAATTGTTTGCACCGACCTATCACCGCCATCAGCTGGTCATTGAGAAGTTTATCCCCTTTCTATCTTTCTGTCTCTACATCTGCATCACGTGCAAACGGTGTACTGAGGTAGTGTGGCGATTTCATTGAGATGAAAACCAAAATTGTGCACTATGCGTTCGCAGGCCGGGGCAGTGTGCACTGGTGCAGGAAGAGCAGGACAGTTGACGGAACCGTTAAGATACACACACTCAAACAAACTTGACACCCGGTGACGGTCAAGCGGTGAACATTAGTGCTTTTTGCTACTTCCAGGTAGGTAAAAATGATTTTTTACAGCTTTTTTTCAGGTACAAATATCTTTCATTTTAAGTTTTTGTTTCAAATGAGGTGATGAATGCATGCCTGAGTTCAAACAATTTTGCCGTTTATAAAGAACATTTTCAAAAAATAATTTTGAGCATTTTCAATTCTGCAAATCGATAAATTGCCTAATATTCGATGCAGAAAACTGGATTATTAAATTGCCATTAGCTCAAAATTAGCTTTTATCTCAACTTCCGAGTGATTTTCGCGCAGTCTTGGTGACAACAAGATTTCTTACAGATATAAAAACTTGCTTCCAGTGTGGCAAACACACACAACAGATTTGCTCGTAAAATAGCCACCACTAACCTTCGAAAATGACACGCTTCGATTGACACAACATTAAAAATAGGCATTTGCACTACAATCAACGGGCACTGCTTAGGAATTATGTGGACAACTGTGATAACAGGCAAAACTTGACACTTGCACTGGACAACGGCTAACATATGCAACACTAGATGGTTAGATTTGATAAGCAAAAATTTTATTTTGTAGAAAGCTTTTGAAAGTACAGTTTTACTGAAATGCTAAAATGAAAAATTTAAAAGAATTTGGTGTAAAAGTTTGGGAAATTGACTAAAGATGAATAGACTTGAGAAAATCATTCACAACGGCAGTACTTTGGTTTGAAAGCTCAAGCTTTATTTTCCAACGCCTTTTCCTGCCTTCTTGAAACCTTTCTTAGCCGCAAATTTAGCACCTGCTGCACCTGAAACAAATTAGAGATGCAAATTAGTTTTTACAATACGTAGACAAGTAAACTAGTATAATGAGCAAACACTAACCTCCTTTTTTGAAAGCCATTTTGGCACCGCCTTTCTTGAAAACGCCTCCTTTAGCGCCTGAAAAAAGTGAAACGGTATTTGTCAAGNAAAAGCTCAAGCTTTATTTTCCAACGCCTTTTCCTGCCTTCTTGAAGCCTTTCTTAGCCGCAAATTTAGCACCTGCTGCACCTGAAACAAATTAGAGATGCAAATTAGTTTTCATAATACGTAGACAAGTAAACCAGTATAATGAGCAAACACTAACCTCCTTTTTTGAAAGCCATTTTGGCACCGCCTTTCTTGAAAACGCCTCCTTTAGCGCCTGAAAAAAGTGAAACGGTATTTGTCAAGCATTGTTTTTTCGTTTGTTTTTTTGTCTAATTATTACCTGCTGCAGCAACCCCCATTTTCTTTCCACCTTTGAAACCTAAAAGGTAAATTATGGTGATTATTTCATTTGAACTTTCTGCACCTTTGAACCTGCTTAATTACCTTTTTTGCCAGCCATGACTCCGCCAGCTGTAAAACATAAGTTTTATTAAATGATGTTTATGACTATAAATTCAATCTTTTTGCCTACCCTTTCCAAACTTAGCCTTGCCCTTCTTTGCAGCAGCAACACCACCTGCGGCAAAAGCACCTAAGGACAATGAGTTAGAATTTTGTAAATGATCATGTTAGACATCAAATTTACTGACCTCCCATTTTTCCAAACTTGAAACCTTGTGCCATTCCAAATGTTTTTATGGCACCAAACTTTTTATTGAAACCAGCCCCGCCGACTTTGCCAAACTTTCCGGCTTTGAAGCCTTTTTTAAATCCTGAAACGCATTTTTTAGTTAATACAACAAAATTTTATAACATTAAGCCACAAACTAACCTCCAGCAGCTGCCTTTATGCCTCCGACCTTTCCACCTGTTTAGTAATTTTGGTTAGTAATCAACATATTTTCAAACACTGCAAATGATACCTTTTTTAAAGCCAGCAGCACCTGCAGCGGCACCAGCAGCAAAACCTAAAAAGAACAACTGTTGTTAAAAAACTGCTATATCCTTGTTCAATCGTACCTTTTTTGACACCCTTTTTAGCGCCACCAGCACCAAATACGGCCCCCTTTTTCCCTGCTTTTGCCACGCCGCCTTTTTTCCCAGCAGCCTTCACCACGCCCATGGCAGCGGCTTTTCCGCCGCCCACTGCCGTCTCGGCGACCATCAGATCATCAGATGAAGATGCTCCTGAGGTCGCAGTGACGGCAATCACAATGAAAGCTAATAAAATCTGAAAGGATAGATTAAAGTTAGCTGTGATATCATTGAAAACAACCCTATTTGCAAATTACTTACTGGTTTATAAAAGATCATGTTGTAAACAAGTTGATCAAACTACAAAAGGCAAGTTATCACAGTGTACAAAAAGAAAAAGGCACAAGTGCTACTTGGCTGAGTGCAAACCGACAAGTGACCTGACCAAAGTACATACTGTCCACTTAAATACAGACAACTAATTTTGGCGAAAAATAAGAGCAGTTGTTGAGGTGATGAAACCAGTAACAAGGTAGACAGATTTGCATGTTCTGGAACTGAGTGGTGGGAAAGTAGCCAGCAATAGCAACAGCGGCAGCAGCAGCNTACTTGGCTGAGTGCAAACCGACAAGTGACCTGACCAAAGTACATACTGTCCACTTAAATACAGACAACTAATTTTGGCGAAAAATAAGAGCAGTTGTTGAGGTGATGAAACCAGTAACAAGGTAGACAGATTTGCATGTTCTGGAACTGAGTGGTGGGAAAGTAGCCAGCAATAGCAACAGCGGCAGCAGCAGCAGCAGCCGAGTTGCCTTGCGACATCGAACGCTCGTTTGCATGGACAACGGAAACCAACGGGAACAAACGGCGGCAGGACAACACAAACACACACACACTAGCAGACTACTTGAAAGGACTTATGTAAAGTGAGCACCGGTCGTGTTGCTTACACTCAATGTCACCGGCAACACCTGATAACACCCTTGATATGCCAGGCAGTGAATCTGTCTTCTTTACGAGTTTTATAATTCAGTCAGCGCTAGTTTCATATAACTTTTATGTAACTAAAAGCAACCAATAAATATTTCAATTACAGGTTTTTAACTGTTTTATTTATTGAAAAATCTCCACTAAAAGTTATAAATGAGCAATCAAGCAAATAAAACAGGTGTTTTCAGGGGATAACACTATTTGACAAGGTAAAAAATACTATTGCTACTCGGTCTTCCTCTATGCTTTTTCCTGTTCCCAGTTGTCTGTCGTAGTGAACTCAGTCTCAATGAAAAGTGCTTTTAATAACCCTTGTAATCGTTTAAGCAAGCAGTTCACTCTTTCCATCGTAAATCTTTTCCCACCCACCGACAATTGTGACGGCCATCATCATCAATGAGCATCCAACTTGTAGTTGAACTCAGTAGATGTCGCACACCCAGTGCTTCTGGTTCCAAAAAAATTGTACAGGATTCAAATGGAAGAGCATGTTTGTAACAATTTTACTACTTCAATGGCATTTTGTAATATCCGATACAAGAAATGCACCAATGTGATAGAGTGCAAAAATAAAAAATGCATTTCAATGAAATATAATAATGTTCAAAAACAATAATAACAATGAAACTTGACACTTGACAGTTGAGATAAAACAAAGAAGAAAGGTCGAATCAACATTACCAGCTAGAGGCGCAAAGGGCACTTTTAAGTATGAGAACAGTAATAGAGTTGTACAATAAATGCATTTACAAAGTATGTGTTGTAATGTGAAAAAAATGAAACAAAAAATCGATGATGATGCGTGCTGAAGATTTTTGAGGCGTCGCGTTTTCAGTGGCCAGCAGTGAACAAAGGTGAGTAAAGAGGAGTGAAAGGGCC